TTGATCTTGTGAGAATTAAATAAGTTAAAATATATCCCGGTGTTCAATATAGTGCCAAACATTTAGTAAGTGCATAACAACAGTCCAGACACGTTAGCAGAGCTCAAGGCTCCTCCCAGAGTGACCCCTTCCCCTCTTCTTCCCCTCCAGGAAGGCTGTCTGTTCCCTAATGCAAGAGATGCTTTCAGACCCCCCTGCTGGGCATGTGGGGGGAGGGGACAGAAGGCAATGCCCCTTAAAGGAGGAAAAGGTTTGCGGAACCTGATGTCCCTGCTCAGTCCCTCATGGAAGGAGAGTCTGTTTCTAGCAGAAATCAATTTGAGAGCATGTCCTTTGAGGAAAGGGGGGCCTGGAAGCTAAAGAGCAAGATTACAGTGAATGATGAGTGCTTACTCATGAAGGATCCGGAGGGCAACTTGACAACTGAGCTGGAAAATTCTCATCTTTTCCTGATGAGACAGAAGAGAAACATGGCATTATTTTCTGGAGAGCTGCCGGGAACTTACCAAATATGTGGGAAATAAATAGAAGGTTAGGTGGCCCAATTAAGTCCCAATCAAAGTGGGACCAGGGCATCCTAGCCTGTGAAATGATCCTCAGATTTTAACAGTCAGTTTTAAAGGTGGCAAAATTTCACTAATTAGCTAGGCAGTGTTAAAACAAATCTGATTATACATGTAGTAGTAAAGACTAGCAAAGGATTATCAGATGATTATACTTAAATGATTTGTAAAAAGCACATGAATTATTTCTGAAACAATGTGGTTCAAAGTGCTGGAAGAGTTTGTGCTGCTAGTTTGATAAGACATCTCCTGTGCTATCTTGCTGACTTTTGACAGTGGCTTAAATAACTCCTACATGCATAGATTTGGGAAAGGTCACTTGGCCCATGTGTAAATTAGGATGCGTTTTAATGGACAGGGGCTAAGTTGTTGAGGCTGTTCCTGACTTTGGCTTTGTCACCCAGTATTCCTTTCATTTCAAATGGCAATTTTCAAATTGGTGCTGAACATGTTAACACAATTGAGCCCACAAGCGTGCTTTTCTGCAGCCACTAAACCCAGAGGTTTTCACCAGCTCCTCTGCAGTATGAGACCTGTTGGAAAATGTTTTACTTTTGACCCACCTCTGATTACTGTCTCTGCCTCAAATCTGTGGGAGTCAGAGTGGGACAGAGCTCCCATTCCTCACAGTACATTGACAGCTACAATCAGCCCTTAGGATCAGAGCGTACCATCAAAAAAAACCATTTTCCAAAATAAGGGACACACCCCATGATGGTCAGAGGTCCCCTTTGTTCCGTAGCATGATATTTTGTTGGGATTCTAGGGTATAATTAATTGTAGAGAGCACACTCTGTCCTTGTCCAGGTGTGTTGGAGGAGTGAGAATTATTGGGCCTTTCTTCATAAGATGGGTGTCAGTAGGACCTCTGAGAACCTGCTCTAATGCTACTGGATATAAAGGTCTTGGGGTTAAGGACCTAGTCGAGCAAAAGTGAAAGCCTGGAGTGTGTGACCCTTGACCACCTGCCCGTCCATTGATCCCATTCTGTTCTCTGAGGGATGGGGAAGGTTCTCCCTTAGCTTTTGCTCAAGACGATTGCAGCCAGGGGAAAGAGGGTGACCTATGTCCTATGTGGTGGTTTCCGTATACTTTTCAGTCAAAGGATTCCATTTTTTCCATAGCATTGAACTTAGTTACACTTTCGCTTGTTCGCTTGTTTACTGGAGGCCTGCCTTCCCTACTAGACTAGGTAAGTTTCCAGAGGGTAGGGAGCTCATTCGTTTTGTTCACAACTGTGTATCCAGCACCAGAAAGAGCCCCTGACACGTAAAGGCCTCCATCAGTGCTGTTATATGGACACATAAAGGTAGCTTGACTGGCTTGCCTGGTCTCCTGTGTGAGGAGATGCTGTTATAATATAGGGGAAGGTATTATCTCTGCATTTGGAGATTATCACAAGTGATTTAAGGTTATGAGGCCTTGGATTTACTTCCAAAATCACTATTCATTTGCCATTTGAAGTGAAATTAATATAATTTTGAATACGGGATCATTTATTGCATAAAATAGTCTTTGGAAGTCTTTGTGGCATATGGTAGTATAGCATAGGTTTGTGGTACATTTAAAAAAATTAAGAAAAGTAAGAAAAATTACCTTCACTGCAGCCAGCAACTAAGAACCGAGCCTGAATTCTAGGCACTTCCTCGCAGCAGCAGGCCAGCTGACCGTGGCGCCGCAGCTCGATAACTAGGCGATCTTATGCAGGGCATATCTCCTCTGGCCGCGGTTTCCTCTGCAGTTAAGAGGACTTCAGGGATCTTTTCCAGTTCTGGAATTCGGTGATCTGTTTGACGGAGCCCCAAGCAAAATCTGCTGGTGCAGAGGCTCAGTCCAGAGCAAGAGCTCTGAGCACCATGCAGACTCGGGTGCACATCCAGCTCGCCCTGCCAAGGCTGAGCGCTCCCAGAGCCTCTCTGAATCTCGTCTGTGAAATGGGGATAGAAACACCTACGCCCTAAAGTTATTAGGGAGTCCAAATAAAGAGTTGCATTGAAAGTGCTTAGCACAGGTTAGCCAGGAATAAACCTTTAAAAAGTTAGCTTTCATTATTTCTCTCTCAGGTATTGTACATTTATACTCTGACCCTTTTATTGTTTTTAAACCTCACCAGTACAGCTCAGATGATTTTCCTTCAAGGTGTACAGTAAATAGCTGACAATGGACAGTTGGTCACTTAATTTATCAAAAAGCATCCCTTTGTGTGACATCAGGACCCAGATAGACCACGCCTTCTCCCACATTTTGAGGTGGTTTTATGGTGTTGCTCATCTGTGCTTTTGGGAGATGTCAGAGTGACCCTCTCAGGGTGGTCACATGCCTGTCTTCGAATGAAGTCCTACTTGAGTATAAATAGGCTACAATGACTTGAATGCCTTTCCAGAGAGGTGCTTTCTGGCCCAGAACAGGTATAATTCCTCTTGCTGGTTTCTTATACATTCACTGGAAACAAGAAGCATTTCTGTCTGAACATGGCTAAAGAAATGGAAGTAAAAGCCCACATTTAGAAAACTTCAGGTACACTAGGCTTCCTGGAATAGAGTACAATGTAGGCAATGCCATCTAGTGAGAGGCAGCCTCACTCGGGCGCCCTTGCAGGTGGGAGGTGGGGAGCAAGTGTGTGCTGGCCCTGCTCTCACAAAGCCTGCGGACTCCGCAGGTGCCAAGGCCACGAACTGTGAGTGGGTCTCACGGGCCTGTGTGCCTCTAGTTCCGTCTTGTAAGGTTCCTTTTTGCTCCATGAGGTTCCTGACTCTCCCTTCTCCCCACCCTTCTCTCTCTCTAAACTGCTTTCTGCTCGGATCCTCCATAGGAACGCTTTGGGGTAAATATTATTCTCAATTTTCTTTGAAGGAAAACAACTCGGGAGTTGGGGGGGAGGGAGAAAGCATGGTGGGGAGGGAAGGGGTGGCTCATGAGGAAGGCTCGGTGAGTGTATGTGAGTGGTGAGTTTTCACTGAAATCTAAGAGCACACAAATTAGGAGTCGCCAAGCCTTCTTATTGGTTTGGATATGTATGTGGCTTACAAGTTACCTTTTTTTAGATAGGTAGATAGATGATCCTGATACAATAAATGAGTTTATGAAATATATAAAGCCCCTGCATGCAAAAGACCTTATCAGTGTGATATTTTTGGGTTATCTATATTCACATCCAAGATTGAGTAAAAGTGACTTGTTGGTCATGGCCTATAACCTTTAAGAGGGTCTTTAAATTTACAATCTGAGCATAGCCAGCATTCCTTGAATTATATTAAATGTCGTCCGATCTTGGATGGACTTCTCTCCCCGTCAGGGATGGGGATGGCAGGAAGGACAGTAAAGAGCAGGCAGAGGCCCTGCTAGTTCCCGTCGGATGTACTGGGTCCCATTTCCTCGGGTAGTTGGTGTGATGGTCGCCTGGGCCAACATGAGAAAAGAACCAGAGCTTGAGCTCACTACTGAGAGTCTCATTTCCTACCACCCACGTGTTTTACAAACTGCAGTTGTTTGAATTGAATGCAAAGATCTCAGGGGATGAGCAGGTGGAAAGAGAAATTGCAGGTTGATTTATCCACTTCATTCAAAATGAAAAGAAATGTATCTTACCTACTTGGAGCAGGCATTGCCAAGAGGCTGCAGAGGATGGGTCATTGGCTGTAGGGCGAGGGTGGAGGGGGCAGGCGCTGCAGGTTGGCCCTTCTCCAGTGGCGAGGCACTCTCTGCAGTTTGTGTGTAGCATCTCAAATGGGGAGGGACTGCGGAAAGAGCCAGCCACACAGACAATTGGGGTGTGAGCCAAGGTCCTGGCAAGAAGCCTTCATGACATGCTGTCTCTGGAATAGACAGCCCAGCACAGCAAGGGTGTCGGGTCCCCACCAGCCTTCCTCACCCTGCTCTCCCTGAGTTGACAAACTCTGCAGAGGTGACAAACTTAGAGCCAAAGAAAGGGCTAGGTAAAGTCCCCTAAGGAGAATTGCCCTCAACCCTGGGTTACTAATTCCTGTAACCAATATGATTAGAGAGCTGACCACTGCAGAAGCAGTAGCCTAAGCACAGTGGGATCCGCAGTGGGTGACTGTCATGGTCCCTGGTCAATTTTTCTTGTTCATTTTTGCCAGTGCGCTAGTGAGCAGCATTCCCCTGGCAGTTAGGGAAAGGAAGAGCTTATGAACATGTGTGCATGGATGCCTCTGTGTGTGTGCATGTGTGCCTGTGTGTTCCTCTGTGTGAGGGTACATGGGTGTGTGTGCATATGAGTGTGTGCACACTGGGGAGTGCCTTGAAAAGTTTCCCAAAGCATGTTTTGTGGGGTCTCCCAGAAGGAGTCTACACTGACCCAATTTCTGGTCTTTTGCCTGCCTCACCCCTCCCCTTTACCCTGTTAATGCAGTAATGTGACTGTCACTTTTATTTCCCCCTCTGTCCTGTGGTTCCCTGGGGGCTTTTCCCCTGCAGAACCAACAAGGGGCGGGACATCAAGACCATCAAGTCTCTGCGGGTGCTCCGGGTTCTGAGGCCACTGAAGACCATCAAACGCCTGCCCAAGCTCAAGGTGATGTTTTCTGAGTTTCTTCCCAACAAGTCCCCTTTGCCGTCCTCTCTGTGCAGCCATGGCTGGCTGGCTTTTGTAGAATTGTTGCTGGGAATGTTCCTGTTGCGCACAAGGGGACTGAAATTCATTTCATCTACATTCCTGAGCTACGGGTCTTAGTTTTAAAGGGAAATAGCCAGCTTCCCAAGAGATCTATAAGGGGCTTTTGCCTCTTGAGTTCAGCCCCAGGTGATAGTTTGTACACCCTGGTTGTGGCCTGTTGTTCAGGAAGAAACCTTGTGACTGTCTCCGAGCCTCTGCAAACCAAAGCAGCCGGAGCCCGCTGTCTGTGGTCTGCACACTAGGTTTCTCCTTGGGATTCTAGAGAAGGAAATGACCTTCTAGCACTGACCCCTCCTGGTTTGGAGGCACAGACACGTCAGTCACTTGCCCAAGAACAGACACATCTGGGGCAGAAGCAGAGAAGAGGGGAAGTGAGCAAGGGTGAATTAAATTCTTCCTGTTGCTGGGACTTGAGCTTTCTTTCATAGGTACCCCATCCTGGTTCTCCTGCTCCACCCCCCGGGCTCCTTCCCTGGTGCTTCCTGCCCTTGGGGTGTGCTTTCCCATTCAATCCTGTTTGCTAACAGGTCGAACCTGCCTCCCCTACACACATCCATTGCTGTTATGGAAGCTGAAGTGTCCTAGGAGAGAAGTTCTCTCCTGAATTCCTGTGAATGACAGCCAGCCACCGCTGGGGAGGGAACAGATTCACCCTGCTTACTAGTTCCCCTTTCTCATGAGGTTCACCAACCCCTCTACCACCCCTGCTGCCCTCAGGACACTGCTCCCCTTTCCACCCTCTGGCTGTACAGAGAGGTGGCAAAACCAACTGGGTTTAGCAAAGGCTGGGGACTGCAGGAAAGTCACTTCTGAAAAGCCCCTAACTGGCAGGGACATGGCTTCCTCTCTAAGCCCAGGGCCCTGGCCACCTGCATGGGTTCCCAGGAGAGGCTCATGCCCCACAGGAAGTGTCCTCGCCACCTGCTTTCCTCCTGCCCTGCCGTCCCTCCAGGAGGAGGCACCTCCCACAGTGTCAGGCAGACTTTTACATACAACCCTCCACCTGGTAATGGGTTCAGCCCTGGGCCTGGACTGGGGCAGTGCCCATAGGTATTCATTCCTTTCTGTCCCATCCACAACCAAATTTGGCCAGGAGGCCTGGGCCCTGGCCACTCTTGTTAGCTGCAGTTTAGTGGTCTCATCTCCTCCAAGCTGTGTTGGGGTCCTGGGGAGGGTGCAGGTTGCACAGTGACATTAGTTACCAGACTGGAGGGCCTCCCCAACCTTGGTTAATTCCATTTAATTAAGAAGTGCTGATTCCTCTCTGCTACTCTGTAACCTGGGGGAAGTATAGGTGGCTCTGATGGTTCCACGGGCTGCTTGTCACTCACAGTCCCTGCAGTGTTGGACTAATTACACCAGCAGTGTTTGCCCAGCCCTGCGAAGAAGCGACTGCAGAGATGTGACGCCACCGTGGGGCTAGGCTCTCTACTGTGCTAAACCTAAAAACCTAGAAAATAACCTAAAAATGGCTTGAAATGCGTCGAGGTCCCATGTAACTTCTCATGGCTTGGGGCTTAGAACGGCTTCTCCAGAGGTGGATCCATTGCCTTTAAGTGAATATCCTGATTCGGTCCACCCGGTCCTCGTGGCCATGCAAGGGGAGCTGGCCATCCCTTCCCTCATCGCTGGTTGCATCTTAATCACAGCTTTAAACTGGAGGACATTTACATAAAGGGTTGAATATAATTGGAGCAAATGCACAAACTTCTTATAAAATGCACAATAATTCTTATAATTAAAATGCACAAAAATGATAGTTTATTATCACTCTAATCCATTTAGAAAGGTAAAGAGAAAACTACATATTCAGCACATGAATCAAATCTAAGAATGTCACCAAATAAGTGTAAGGTCAGGGAAGAAGCTATTTAATGGCTAAAATGGGCTAAATGATCTCAAAGATCCCTTTACAATGAATGTCTGACTTCCCACTAGGCAGAGCGCACCTAATGGGGTTCCTCAAAGGTGTCCCTCCATTGCCTGATGGCATCTGTCCCTATTGCTCTGGGTTTGCTGTCAGACTCAGAGCATGTGTCCCCTTCCCAGGTGGTAGGTCCTTGGAGTTATAACCAGCTTAGAAGCCAGCTCTGAATCTCATGAGTATCACTGCTTAGCAAGGCGATGTCTCCTAAGGCACCTTCTCAGGGGACTGGCTGGTGGGGGTGTGGCCCCAGCTCAGCCCTAGGCAAAGACACAGGCCATTCTGGGGACTTACGTGCCTGGCTTTTCTGTGCACAGGCTGTCTTTGACTGTGTGGTGACCTCACTGAAGAACGTCTTCAACATACTCATTGTCTACAAGCTCTTCATGTTCATCTTTGCTGTTATCGCTGTTCAGCTGTTCAAGGGAAAGTTCTTTTATTGCACGGACAGTTCCAAGGACACAGAGAAGGAGTGCATGTAAGTGCCACCAGCACCCCTGTCCAACCACTCCCTTCCTTCCTGCTGAAGCATGTTCCCAGGAGGCCCACTCCAGCTCCATTCATAGGTCTGTTCTTTCTCTTGAGCCCCTCACATTCCTCTTTTAGGAAAAAGGCAAAATAGGAAGTTGCTAAACTTTGATCAAGTACCATTTTTGTGTCAGACATGGTGCCTGGCATTTTACTTCCTGGTGTGGTTTTTTTAATCTTAAATCTTTATAACAACCTTTTGAGAGAGGTTTTATTTGCATAGTATAGATGTGGAAGCTGCAGCTCAGAAAGTTTAAGTTACTCAAGGCTGCATGGTGACTCGAGAAAGGATTAGAAGTCCATCTTCCATGTCTGTTAGGCACCGAATCCCATTTTTATCCACTGCCTTTAATAAAATCCTCCTTTGTTGCATGTGTACACTGACCGTTGTTACCCTGCGTCTTTGAAGTCCATAGAACTTCCTTACTCTCCCATGAGCTGTCGTGAAGAGGCTCTGTTTCGTTTCTGCACTGATTTTAGAGGCAACTATGTGGATCATGAGAAAAACAAGATGGAAGTGAAGGGTCGGGAATGGAAGCGCCATGAATTCCACTACGACAACATCATCTGGGCCCTTCTCACGCTCTTCACCGTCTCCACGGGGGAAGGATGGCCTCAGTGAGTGATGAGTGTGCTTGTCTGTGAGCTGAGGTGGGGCCACGTGGTTGCCTTGAGAAGCCAACTCAAGATGAACAAAGTCAACCCTTTGTTATTGTTCCAGGGAGAGTAAGTGGCCATGAGTGGGGGAGAGAGGCAGAAGAGAGGAAGAGTGGAAATCCTTAAGGCAAAAAGCATGAGGAAGATGACAAAGTCTGGGAAACAGTTGAAACTCTTGATGTTTTAGCCAAGTATTGAGTTGAGTGGAGCCATCTGACGCCTGTATAACAAATGAGTTTTGAACAGCTCTCCACCCCTTACCAGAGTCCCTGGGAGCTGTTTTAAACAGATTTAACCTCCAAGTTGGTCCTACACCTGGGGATTGAGGGTTAGGAATGAGATGGCAGAACCCAGAGATACTTTCTGTGATCACACAGCTAAAGAAGACAACAAAATGGTTTGTTGTTGTTGTTTTTTTAGATTTTTTAAATTGATTTTTGAAGAGAGAGGGAGAGAGAGAAACATTGATGTGAGCAAAACATTGATCGGCTGCCTCCTGCACGCCCCCTACCAGGGATCCAGCTCACAACCCAGGCATGTGCCCTGACCAGGAATTGAACTGGGAACCTTTCGGTGGATGGAATGACACCCAGCCAACTGAGCCACACTGGCCAGGGCAGAATGTAATTTCTGATGCTGCCATAGCTGTAGAGTGACTTCTCAGAGACTCGGCAATTACTAAGACACCCCTTTTTGGTCGCAGCATACTCTAGTTGGCAACAAAATGCCAACTGGAAATCCAGGAGTCTCCTGGTATTGAATGTGACAACCTAAACTATAAAATAATGTCACTCTGTTGCTTAGAAGTTGGATGTCTGATGGAATGGGCTAGAAAAGCAGTGGGTTGAGGATCACTGAGTCTTCACCAACTTGGTTATTATGGACCCCAAAAATATTAACGGAGGATCTGCACAGACAAAGAGATCAGATAAGAAAATGTGACAGGTGGCACATGACCTAAAGAAACCTCGAGTGAGAGCAGTGGCCGAGATGGCCATCCACCATTCGTGCCCCATCATTCTGTCCCCACAGGGTTTTGCAGCACTCTGTGGATGTGACAGAGGAGGACCGGGGCCCGAGCCGCAGCAACCGCATGGAGATGTCCATCTTTTATGTGGTCTACTTCGTAGTCTTCCCCTTCTTCTTTGTCAACATCTTTGTGGCTCTCATCATCATCACTTTCCAGGAGCAGGGGGACAAGATGATGGAGGAGTGCAGCCTGGAGAAGAACGAGGTAAAGCAGGAGGTCTGCAGCGGGGGGCAGCAGGGCCTCCAGAAAGGGGGCGCGGGCCCAGCCCTGAGAAGGAAGGCTGACTTTTCTGAACCTAATAACTATAGGGAGAGGATAGGGGAAATGATTCAGCCATTAAGCATGTTTTGAGCATCTGCTCTGTGTAAGGCCCATAGATGCAGTGCAGAGTCTAGAAGTGTGGGGGGGTGGGGGGTGTTAAGACACCGGTCACCTGGCTGTCCCCTCTGTGGCGTGTGTGTGCTGTAAGGGAAGGGGATATGGCTCGCTCATGACAGCTCTTCTGGTAACAAGCATAGTTCTGGCACATTGTAGGGTCCATTGGACCTGAACTAGAAACTGAGACTGTAAGAGAAATGCAAAAATTGCTGTGGGAATGCATAGAGATCTTGACTTCTGGCTGAGGGTATCGGGTTAGGCTTCCTGCCTAAACATCTCCGCCACACGCCATGTGAAAAGGACAATATTAATAATCATTAAGTCCTTACCTCATGTGACAAACACCCCCCCCCCAGTTCTGTGTATTCACTTAAGGTGGCATCTCGCCTGCAGTTTTGTCTAATCTCTGCTGCTGTTTTTACATCTGCTTGTGCAGTCCTACTTTTTTTATTATATGCCATCCTCTTGTAACCATCTAGTAGAGCCACCAGTGTGCAAGGTTTGGGGGATTTGGGCTCGGGCCAGTAACCAACCGTGACTTTCCTCCAGAGGGCCTGTATCGACTTTGCCATCAGTGCCAAGCCGCTCACCCGCTACATGCCACAGAACAGGCACACCTTCCAGTATCGCGTCTGGCACTTCGTGGTGTCCCCGTCCTTTGAGTACACCATCATGGCCATGATCGCCTTGAACACCATCGTGCTGATGATGAAGGTGAGAGGCTGGTGCGGGAGGTGCTGGGGCAGGCCAACCTCAGGACTCTTCCCTCGCAGAGCAGTTGTGTGTGCGCCCAGATACTGGGAAACACTCCCACTTACCAGTTTAAGTGTCCTTACCTACTCCTCAATCATGGAGCCTCTTCCTGATCTTCTCTCATTCAACAGCCCAGCCTCTGGGTCTTTGGGGCAAAATACCATGAAACGTAGCAGCCATCCAGAAGTTCCCAAACCAGAGGTGGTGACAGGAATGAGACTCGGGCAAGGGCGGAAATGTCAGGAGATAGAGGTGATCACGGGATCTGATGGAGTGCCAGGAGAGATTTGACCTTATTTAATACTCAGTGGGCAAGTAATTAACTCTAGAAAAGGTTTCTGTCCTGCCCACCTTCATCTCAAGGAAGAATGTCTGCTGCTAACTAGTAGCCTTGGTGGTGGGGTGGGGCAGGGCATGGTCTGTGTTTCCCTGTCTTGTGTTGTTCTGCCACATGGAATACGTAAGACTTCTCTCCAGAATCCCATGACCATGTCTCCCACACCACGCAGCAGTGTCCCCTGAGGGTAGGGGTGAGAGTTGGCCGGCCTCGGTGACATGGAGACCCCTCTCACCTTAAGGGTTGGTTCTTTCCCTCCTCTCTTCTCTTCCTGGCAGTACTACTCTGCTCCGTGTACTTATGAACTGGCCCTGAAGTACCTGAATATTGCCTTCACCATGGTGTTTTCCTTGGAATGTGTCCTGAAGATCATCGCATTTGGCTTCTTGGTACGTCATGGAACATCTCCTCCATGCTTGTCTCCCTTTCCTTCTGGGTGTATCCCCAGCCTTTGTGGGAAGGAGGGTGGACTCCACGACTCAAAAATGGTTCATATACCTACTCACTAATTGTGGGCTCCTTCCCACTGCTCAGGAAACTGCCGTAGAGATGAGACGATGTGTGAGGGTGTTGGGAGAAAGGGCAAAGGAAAGGGGAGCCCCAGCTCCAAGCTCATCTAGCCACCAGCTCTGGTCTTGTCAGATTCTGTCAGCGGTCAAGGGGTGACAGTCATTGGGTCTCACTAGCACGACGATTTATCTGTTGCTAGGGAGCAAAACAAGGATTGGACTAATAAACCTTGAGTTTCCTGTAAAAGGTATAAAATTTTATAACTCAAATGGGAAAATATCTGTCCCTCTTAGCCTCAAACATAGTTGATAATAGGTTTTATCTAATTTTCCTTCTCCCCTTAGTTACACAAAGAGTAATTTCTGCCAACAAAAACGTTTCTTAAGCTTATAAAAGTTAATGACCTTTGAAGTGTGTATGTGTGGGTGGAGAGAGAGAGGTGTGTGGATTCTGGAACTGGGTTTGGGAAGGGTTGGGATGAGTTTTTCTGGCATGAGTCTTTACTTTTCAGCTACTAATTATAATCGGCAAGTTCTTGCCTCTGCTCTCAAGAGCGTTAAGCAAACCTAGCCGTTGCCTCAGCGTCCTATAAACAAAATAGTCCTCTCTGCTCCCCCCACCCTGGCTTCAGCGTTTACAGTGAGACCAGTGGGATGCGGAAAAACCCACTTGACAGCTGTTTCACGCTTCCTTCGTGTGTGAGCTTCTATTCCAAATTATATATGTATCTGGCTTTCCTTGCAAGAAAACAAACTTCGCTTGTTGTCTGAATAAGGGTTTGATAATTGTGAAGGCTGATTGTGGGGTTGCTTTAGCTCTCCTCGTGGCCCTCTGAAAAGTCATTAATTTGATGGCTTGGGGAGGAGAGTTGAAGGAAACCCACTGCAGGTGGCTGTATTGTTGTTTGCCTCACTCCCTTTAGAGTGTTTTGAGACTTGAGACCTGGGGGCATAAAAAGAGTGAAAAGAATACCTGGGTAATACAGTCTAGCCCCAAGTGAGTGAGCTGGGGGAGGGCAAAGTGGCACCGCCAGGAGGGGCGTTTTCCTGCACATCTCGATTACTTGCATGTGGTATTGACTCCGTCTGTGACTTCAGTCCCCAGTTACGTATCTAATTATGGTGAGTGCTGAATACATACTTACAAGCTTAACCAGATGATTGGGCCCCAAGGCCCGCCTCCTTCCCACTCTCACCCCTGAATCTTCATGCACGGTCTTGAGGCATTTCCACACTGTGAAAGGCACCGCCAGTCCCAAGTATGTCTTTACGCTGATAGTGCTCTAGGTGTTCAAAATGCCCTAACATGTGCTGTGTATCAGGTTTTCTCTGACTCTGAAATAGCCATGGCAGGAACCATCGTCATCATTATTGTTATTCATTTAAATGAGGAAACTGAAATTCAGAAAAATTGTATAGCTTTTTGAGGATTACACAATAAAAGGCAGTAGAATCGGAAAGTGTAATGGGGATAGAAAGAGGAAGAAAGAGGGAGAGAATGAACATACAGTAGTTGTCTATTAAGTCCAAACGCTTTACATACTCATTTCAGTTTTATACCAGCTCTATTAGGTAGGCAGTGGTCTTCCTTTTTGGGTGGGCTGGGGCTCAGGAAGATTGAGCGCTTTGTCCAAGGTTCCTAAAAGGCAGAGCCAGCATTCAGATCCTGGCCTGGCTGACTTGGAAGCCCACATGCCGTCCACCATAATGTACTGGTCTTTACTATACTGTGGGTTCTGTACCATACTGTCGGGAAGCATCCTCACCTGGAATCCAGGCCTTCCATCCTCTGAGACCCAGCTTTGTGTTCCCTCTGCTATATGGGGGAGGCCTAAGTACTAGGCAGCTCCCCCAGGTTGGGCATAGGAGAGCCCTAAGAATGGAGGAACTCGGAGACTCCCCTTAGCTCCAGTCATGAAGGAGTAGGTATTTGTAATGGAAAGTGAGATTGTGAGGCTGTGTGCCTCAGTTTCTCTACATACCTGGCAGGTACATGTGGCTTTGGAATCAGACAAGCCTCACTTTGCTCATTCATAAAATGAGGGTAACAGTAGCTACCTTGCAGCCTCAGATAGTTGTTGTGTGTATCCAGTTAGGCAGTGTGCCCAAGGCATCTAAGGCGTCTGGTTCTGAGTAGGTGTTCATTATACGTAGCTCCCCTCCCCACACGCCTTTCCTATCTTTGTTGCCTGTCTCTCCCCACTGGGTTGCCTGTCTCTCCCCACTCTTCTTACCAACCCTGCCACTCAGTATTTTATAAACATAGGTATCACTACCTACCTATAGACTTCATGGGAGGAATAAGTGAATTGAATGAATGCCCAGGGCCTGGCCCAGTATCTGGCACACATAGCAAGGATTCACCGATGTGTCATGAGGGTGGGAGGGGGTGCCCTTCTGCAGTGCTCTGAGAGACTCTTAGGGCAAGCAGGTGACTTTGGGGAGACCCAAGTGACCTGTGTCTTTTAAGGCATATAGTTCAGAGTCTGTGTTCACCTGAGCCCTGGGAATGGGTGCATAGCCTATTCTTTCTGGTAGGCAGAGTATTATCTGAACGGTGGATTTTCTGGGTCCTTTATCCTCCATCTCCTTCAACCCACTCGTTCTATTACTGCTTCCTTGTATTAATTTCATTACACCTCCTTGAAAGGTGTAACAGAGCAGAGAAAGAGGGAAAAGATTAAGTCTCTTCATCCTATTGCAAATCAGCAGTTGGTTTGAAAAGGCTCAGTGGAGTTAGAGGAGATTTTTGGCACATCTTTGATCTTTAGTCACTTAGGACATCTCTGTGACTCTTATTAATAATTGAAAGTCAGAACTGTATACTTATAGGGTCACATGATACAAGGTGGATACTTTAGAGTTATAGTTGTAGAAAACTTTGAAGTAATATTGTAAATAATTTGATTGTCTTGTAGGTGACACCAATCTCTCTTTTTTTTGGAGTTGTGATGTTCTTGGCCACAAATCTTCCTTACATATGAGCTTTTTAGTGACACCTTCAATAACAAGGACTTCAAATAGTGATGAAACTGCTTGCCAAATGAGAAATTCCCAAATTCATAAAGGAGAAATAGCATTTCTGGTTAGAAATAGGAAACTGAAGCCAATGATAGAACAAACTTGTACATGAATTAACAAGTTGCAGTTCCAAGTGACAGTTATGTAATGAAAGATATCTTTTCTCCAATTTTTATTTTCTTCCTGGTTTTCTTTTCCTCTGTTATGTGATGCTCCCGTGACTGAATTCTCTTGGCAGAACTATTTCCGAGACACCTGGAATATCTTCGACTTCATCACCGTGATCGGCAGCATCACAGAAATCATCTTGACAGACAGCAAGGTGAATGGCTCATAGAGCTCATCTTTAAGCTTGGCCGTGAAGTAGCATTTAAAGAAATCCCCTGCACATTCAGTTTATTTTAAACTCATCAAACCAAATGCGTAGCCATCTGAGTGTGGGGAGTTCACTTCCTCACTCCTGAGCTCTAGCCAGAAAATGCCAACATTGGAGGGCCCTGGATCTCATGGAAGCTTTGTTTCACATGCATGCCTCCCATAGCAGACATCTCATAGGGTAAGTGGAATGAATAGAGAGGGTGCCAAAAGCGACCCAGTGCCCAGTGTGGTGCTAGATTCTGTAAGAGATACAAAAGAGCCACAGTATCCTTGCCCTCAAAGTTGTTAGACCTGAATCATTTCCCTAAAATTGTTCATCCTAAAGAAGACTTGGAGAGCTCATCGTAACTCTCTGAATGCTGGAGAGCCACTGTGTGCTGGAGGGACTATTAGATCTGTTCTTTTGGCGTCTAAGTGCAGCGTTAGGACCACTTAAAGAAGACTAGGAGGTGGTTCTGTCTAATGCAGGGCACCCTCTGGGGTACTTCCCTACCCTTCTCCCTGGGAATGGGAGGCGGGCCTGGGAAGGCTGAGAAAGGTGGTCCTCCCTGGCCCATCAGCTGGAGACGGGTTTAAAACCAAAGACAGAATCCACGTCCCAATTTTATGATCTGAATGGGGGCTAAATACGCAAATCCTAACTAGTGCTTAGACTTTCTGAATAACGATCATGTCGCTAATTCTGTCTCCTTCTGGTCCACCAGCTTGTGAACACCAGTGGCTTCAACATGAGCTTCCTGAAGCTCTTCCGCGCCGCCCGCCTCATCAAGCTGCTGCGTCAGGGCTACACCATCCGTATTCTGCTCTGGACCTTCGTTCAGTCCTTTAAGGTGAGAGGCACCAGCTCCTCCTTGCTGAGGCGGCCCTGTCGTAGCAGACGGCACAGCCAGGCATCACGGCGTCATCACATGCGTCCCTTCACCTCTGACGCTAGTCAGATGGGTGTGTGTCAGGAGGGTTAGATAAATACAGCTCAGCTCGGCCGGGCAGCGGGCACTGATGTCCACCTGCATAGATCTCATTCTAGAAAACCACCTCAACTCTGTAACTCGGTTATCTTCNATACAGCTCAGCTCGGCCGGGCAGCGGGCACTGATGTCCACCTGCATAGATCTCATTCTAGAAAACCACCTCAACTCTGTAACTCGGGTTATCTGTCCGCTGAGGCAGGGAGTGTGTCTTAGCAGGCGTGCTTCCCTCCCCAGGACTTCCAAAGCCCTGCCGTGTAGAGAGCCAGGCACCTGTTGTCACATACTCTCTGCATTTTCAGGGGCGTGACAGTGGTTTTATTTCACGTAACAGTGTTTCAAAGGACCCCTTGAGTTCTGTTTTATAGCAAGATGAGCCACACCAGTCCCAGCATGTCCTCATCAGTGTGTTTCCTGAACCACTGAGAGCATGGCGTGCTCACGGTCACCTCTGTGCCCTGCACACCGATAGGATGCGTGGCAAGGTTAACACGGGGAGCGTCTTTGCAACGATCACATGGGCAGTAGAAAGGTGCATGTGTAATTAAACATAAGTTAAAAACCCTCTTGAATGGCAGAGACTTCCGGTAAAAGAAGTTTTCCAAACCTATTTAAATAAATAGTATAATATCATAATTAGTTATTTTTAAGGTTTTGGGGGCCTAAATGTTATTCAAATGCCTACTGTTTTCCTCTTATAAAAAACAAGTTTCTCCTCGAATGTGTTTTAAAAATAAATTTGATGCTATTAAGGGGTTCAAAGATAAGAAATCACAGAATTGTCTTTTTTAATTATTTATATACAGGGTGGGCAAAAGTAGGTTTACAGCTTTTGTATGGAAAAACAACATGCAGGCTATGATTATTACAATAACAAAGCTGCATTAACTCAAAAGAATGTCAGTGCCACTGTAGACCTACTTTTGCCCACCCTGTATTTTAATCACAAAGTGTAATGCAGAAGGCAAGCCAACGAGTTCGCGGTTTCTCACCACTCGGAAAGGGCGTTGGTTCACCCCGCACCCTCGGCACTGATTCACTCCTGCACCCAGCGCCTGCGGGTTCGAGATGTGAGACCAGGTGTAAGGATGTTCCAGCTCCTAGAATCAACCTCGACATTTTTACCGTATTCAGAGTGATTGTTTGATGTGATAGCTCCCACAGAGGCCTTTGGAAAACCATTTTGCCAAAGCTAAATTGCAGAGGAGACATCTAAAACCTTAGCAAGAACTTGCCATACGCGTCTCAGGCGAGTCCAGATTTAAGAGTTTGAAACCAGATGCTCTTAAAGCCTTTTTCTTAAAAACCCGCCCAACAAACTACCGCTGTTCGTGAGTCTCTTAAGAACAATGTGTCAGCCTGTCATGTTATCCTGATCGCCAGTTCTCTGCAAAACTGGGTCCTGTTGAGGGCAAGGAAAAAGCATGTCAAGAATGGATTGCCAAATGGTTGGCGGTTGGCTTGTTTTGGTGAATACACGGATACCGTGAAGACAGCAAATCTGCCCCCAGGTGACACTGATGGACAGGTGTTTCCTTTTCGGAACAGTCCTAGGGCACAGCATAGAAGTTGTTTTCCTAACACTGGCATAACAGAGGCTACCTCTGCAAATACACAGCGGGAGCCGCACAATACAAACAGCATGGCCACTGCCTGTCCCCACCCTCCCAGCCCTGCGCTCCCCCAGTTCTCTACCACCGGCCCCTACTCAGTTCTTCCCCCTTTGCCTTTCTTTTGTGTTGGACTTTATAACGTGATAAGAAAGGCGATCAGAATGAATCTTTAGTGCTCTCCCCAAAGCTGTGGGTAGGGAGAGATGAACTAGGGACTGGAGCCATTGGCATGAAGGTAGAATGACAGGAGGTCAACACAGAAGGTGATAGAAGGAAGCCGCACCCAGGTGGCAAGAAACCTGCCTCCCTACTCTCGCCTTCCCATGGCCCCTCGAAATGTAGCCATTCTGCCCACAGATCTTGGGAGTCAGCACTTCAGTGGAGAGGGGGTTCTCCCGCCGACTTCTATCCTTAATTCACATTACAAAAGTCTCCCAGGACTCTCCATTTGGTGAGATCTGCTGGTAACCCCTGCCCGGGTCCTATAGTCTAAAAGCCTGTGATTGATCTCCTGGGATCTGTGCTGTCCACGCTGAAGACAGAGTGGAGACACATAGTCGCACTGTCTTCCGGGGAGCTTCCTGGACAATAAAGAAGAGGGATTTCCATGTCAGCACCTAGATCACTGCAGAATTACAGTGCCCAGCAGCCCCCAAACCATAGGGCCCTGTGTCTGCATGCCCGTACCCCCGGGGCAGTCTCCTGCCTTATTCGCCTTCCCTGGCCCCCTCCACCCCGTGATTGAAATGTCATCCCCAAGTGGCAGTTAGCATGCACAGTGGGGAACTTTGTGCTACCTGACTTCACGGCTTGGTGGTGGCTGACACCTAAAAGGTGGTTTGGGGATTTTGCATGACACACATGGAAGTGTCAGGAGGCTAAAACTTGGGGAAAAGATGTTTTCTCAGAGGGTGAAGGAGCCTGCTAGGAACTGACAAACAGCCAAGACCCCAGCATTTGAGTTTGTTTCCAGATTCTCCTTGTGGGCTTCTCGTTGAGTGAGGAAGTGGGAAGGGGTAATGCCAGGATTGAGAGCCCTGCTGGATACTTTCTGTGTAATTTGCATCACAATTGCCCACGTTATTAGTACTCTGCATGCAAACTGGGATGAGTCCCAGGCCCAGGTAGTTTCCCCAGATCTCCCAGGAGATCTGGGCCACCCTTCTGGGTGAGGAAATACTCTTGACAGAAGGTAAATTAGGAGCCTCCCTGTGGCCAGCAGCTTCCATATCTTTCACAGCTTGTGGACATCTGCAAAGTGTGGCACCCCAAAACAGGACACCCCAGGGAACACAGCTCCCAGAGTCTCTGCATAAGTGAGCCTCAGGGCAAGACTCCCTGTGCTGCCAGTGACTGCAGGTCGTGGAGCCTGGGACCTGCCTGCCTTTGAGCTCATGGTCCTATCTCTGCTTTCCTTCCAGGCCCTCCCCTACGTCTGCCTTTTGATTGCCATGCTTTTCTTCATCTATGCCATCATTGGGATGCAGGTGAGCGGCGCATGTAGAGCCTGGTGGGGGTGATTGTGGCCCAGACTGCCTCTGGCTCACCAGCCTGAGCGTCCAGGACTGAGGGTATGTTAAAGGGGCCTGCTCCCGAGGTCTTGTTGCCATATGATCTTGGGAATTCTCCATGTCCCTGCCTCCCTGCTCAGGTTGGTCTGGCCCAGGGACTTCATTCGAGGTTGTGAGACAGTGGCGATGGACTTCCGTGGGCGCAACAACAAAACCACAGCAATGTCAGCACCAGTGTTCTTGGCCAGAAGGGTCCCCATGAGGCTAAGGAGGGAGCAGGGCTCCTGCTGACCTAATACTCAGGGTCTTACATATTTGAACTAGGCCTTAAAGAAGGTCAGATGATTGTCCTTCTGTATACAGTGACACAAAATATGTCAGTAAAATGCTGAATGGCTGAGATCTACACCGTGAGACTCACCACTGGGAACAGCTTGTTGAGTTCCTGGCAGCATGCAAACCCTAGACCCAAGGGCCACAGTCCAGCTGATTCCTCTCAAAGGGCTGTGCAGCTTGCTTGTCACCACATCCTTTCCCGTTTGGGAACTGAGAAGCGGAGGTCAGGTTCCCACCCTGAGTATTCATGCAGTTGCCAGAGGCCCACTGAGCAGAAGAGGCCACAAGAGCTTTCAAAAGCAACTGTCATTTAGGGTGGGTGGGCTCCACTGAAACAAGCAGCAGTAGTCATGGACCTACCCAGCCGGGCACTCAGGCTCTCGGCTTGTCTCGGGGAGACTAACTTTCTGACTTGGAGGGAAGGAGACTAAACCCCAGCACAGAACTTCGGCCAAGTGGCAGTGCCTGCAGTCAGGCAGCCTGGCCACCTTTGGACTCAGCCGTCTTCTCCATGGCACCTGCCATCTGGAGCCATTGGAGAGAGACATCTCCCAGGCTTGCTGCGTCGGCAGCCTCTCCGGAGAACCTCTGAGAGGCTCTCCCTTCTGCTCCTCCCTCTCATCTGCACATCTCAATTTTGTTCATCTTCTAACCCCATGAATGGAGAGTTTTGTTCTCCAAAAATATGAGAGAATGTCAAGTGTCAGAAAGTGTGAGACTGGGTTGAAAAGTAATGAGTTTCTCCTTCACGGAGGACATTTCAGCTAAGATTTAATGATGAAGTCCAGGGTGTGTTACAAGCCGAATCCTGGGCAACTTAAAGATTGGCTTGGTGACTTCTATTAAGTCCCGTCAAACTCTCAAATCCTTGATTCTAGAATTAAAATGTCCTTGAACAGCCAAATGAAACTTGATTAAGTTCTTTTTGCTTATGCTTAAAAATAGTCGTTACCCCCTTTTTCATTTTCATCAAAATAAACTAGAATTACACCAATACTAACTGGTTATTAATACTACTGATGATGATGATGATAATGCTGTTTATCATTACTTGAATTCCTGAGTGTGCCAGACACTATGCTAAATGCATGTTCTTACCCCCTCCCTCCCTGTGTGTGTATATGCGTGTACATACACACATGAGAGCAGGGTGGAGAGGGGGAGAGAGAGATGCAAAGCTTCTAACTAGAAAGATTGCATCTCATACTGTCATAACAGCAGAAGGATCCATACAAACAGAAAGGCGAAAAGGCAGTAGACAAAGCATGAAAGAGAAATGGCAATAAGATGTCTCTATGAGAAGGACTGTTATTCTGAATTTCCAAAGTCATCTTGGGAGAAGAGAGCTTGTCAGAGAAGTCCGAATGTAGAAGAAAGGGGTAACTTGTGGGGTATGGAAAAGCACCCTGGGGCTACAGGCCCTTAGCGGTAAGGCCTTCAGCCTCAGCTTCACCACTGACAGCTGTGCAAACTCAGTCAAGTCACTGAACGTCTCTGGGCTTAACACCCTCACCAGTACAGCAGAGGAGTTGGATAGACAGCTTCACAGGTCCTTCCTAGTTCTCAAGTTCTGTGATCCCAAGTGAAAATGGATATAAGCCTATACTTCCAGTAAGTTTTCTGATGGGTCTCAGTATCTCTTCTTTCTCTTCTATACCCATTTGATATAGGAGATTTGGGTTAGTGTCAAGGACTGAGTGAAAAGCTAAAAAAAAAAAAAAGTGAAAAAACTTTAAAGACTACCTTTACAATAAATACACATTTTTGGCTTGAAAATTTTCTTGGAGTACATTGAATATAAACTTTGGTTTCTTTCACTATTACACACATACCTCATGCAACATCACAGCCTGCTCTCTAATTAGTTCATGATTGGAGAAGGTGTTTGAGAAAGTCATAATGAAGACATCTAATGATGGCTTCAGGTGGGTCACGGGGAGAAAATACACTAAGTTTAGTGTATGTGATGAATCAGGGATAAATCATGGGCTCTGAACCAGGAGGGTGAAAAGAGAGAGGAGATGCAGACACAGGCGAGGGGACCTGATGGCTTCCTCCTGGGGCATCCAGAATTAGATTTGATCATTTGGGAATTTTTTCAGTGCTGCTGTTTGTTTGGGGGGCCCTCTCCCATCCTATCTTCCTCCTTCCCTACTTCCCCAATGCTGCCTGGCCTGCCCCCTTCATTCTCCCTGAGAGACAAGTAGTAGTGGGGTTTTGAAAAACATTAAGAACAAATTCCCAAAGCAGGTGTCAGTAGGAGTTATATGAGCAAAATAGCTGGGGGCAGAGATTTTTCCTCAATTGCACATTCTGAAAACTGTTAGGGGGGAATGTGTTGCATTTAGCATATATTAGATAAGCAGAAGCATATTAAAGATAGGCTGAAAATGGTCTCAATTGGCTGGCAAAGTGACCTGTGAAGCCTTCATTTGTACAAAGAGTGACTTTCGAGAACAAACCCTGAAGTCGGAAGCTTGGGTGGGGAGGATGGTGAATGTGGAAGGGCACCCTTCTCACCCAAAGGGACCTTGGGTCGACCTTGGCTCCAGGCAGCACCATGTCTGCAGATCAAGATCTCTGGGTTTTCTCTCTTCTTTCACATGCATTTGCGTGGCGACCACATTCTACGCCCAGCGACCAATGACAGATTAGTAAACTCACTCTGTAGCCAGATCTGCCCAAACCCATTTCCTTCTTCCTCTGCCAAGCATCCCGTTGGCCTGACCTTTTTCCTCCTACTGGCCTGGACTGATTTTGTGTGTGCTCATCCCCATGGACGGTAGCTCACAGACATATCGACCTTCTGAAATTTGACTCTCTGGGTAGGAACACACGCAAGGAAGATAGAGGTGCCCCCCTCTGCCCTAAACAGCTTGCGAACCGAAGGCAGCATCTTCCCAAGCCATGAGTCACGTCTTCTGCAGATTCAGATGCTCCCATCATTACCACCCGAGACAGGCGGCGACTCCTGTTACGGGGTGCTGTCTTTGACAGGCTGTCTGAGCACCATGGTGAGTGCCATGGTGACAGGTACCATGGAAATCAAAAGACAAAATCGGGTGGGAGGAGATACATACAGGCAGAAGATTTCAGAGATCTGTGGTCTCCTTTGTCCTCTTGCTTACCTGGCCACGAGCATGGGGTCACCAGCCTCCCGGTGTGAGCTGTCTGCTTCGGGGTGAGGCCATCAGGAAGAGCCATGCGTGTGGATTTGCCAACGCTGCATCTAATAGCCGTGCCCTGGGTGCACCCCACAGCTCAGTAATGCTCGTTGCTTTCTGTTTTTCTCCTCAAGGTATTTGGAAACATAAAACTAGATGAGGAGAGTCACATCAACCGGCACAACAACTTCCGGAGTTTCTTTGGGTCCCTCATGCTACTGTTCAGGTACCTGGACGCGGAACTGTTGTAGCCGGGCCCTCCCACTGGGGACACAGTTGGTCGTCTCTTCCACGGCCTTTGGCTTGTCGTTCCGCTTGCTCTGCTCCTAGCAGGATTACAGCGGAGTGGGGGCAGGAGGGGGATCATCTTGAACTCAGTAGCAAATTTGCAGACTGCAGCTTCGACGTGTCCTTCGGGGCTCTGAGAGGGCGAAGGCGAGGACGGTTTCTTGCAGATCAAATTCCATTTAAGGCCTGCATCCTTGGATGGCCTGGTTTCTGTGGGATCTAGAAAGTCCCACCATGGTCAGCAGAGATTCTTCAGAAGACAGAGGAGCAGTGGGTGAGGTGGCAGAACCCAGAAGAGACCTCGTTGGCACTCTCCATCTCTGGATGGAGAGCACTGAGTACCATGAGTACCGAGCGGACCTGTTGGGCCTATGGCAAGAGAGAGGGATGGGTGAATTGGGAAGGAGGGGCAAGGAGAGGACAGGACATGCGGACCTGCTACTAATAACCAGAATGTCCTTTGGGCTCAGGAGCGCCACGGGGGAGGCCTGGCAGGAGATCATGCTGTCGTGCCTCGGGGAGAAAGGCTGTGAGCCGGACACCACGGCGCCGTCGGGGCAGAGCGAGAGCGAGCGCTGCGGCACCGACCTGGCCTACGTGTACTTTGTCTCCTTCATCTTCTTCTGCTCCTTCCTGGTGAGTAACACTGTGCTCTCGGCTTGCCATGTGGCCCATCCCAACCTACCCCGATAGTCACGGGACGTTTCCTTTGGTGGACGGTCGCACCACGCCACAGCCCATGCTGAGAACCAGGTTTTTCTCAAGAATTCTTGGAGGCCAACGTGCTTGTCCGACTCCTGGGTGGGTGGCTGGCTAGCTGTGGCTGAGAAAAGCCTTTGCTGCTTCTCGGGAAGATCACTGGGAGAAGGGGTGATGGGTGGGGGAGAGGTCAGTGAAGAGAGCTGTGAACTTCATGGTGAATCTGTTGTAGCCCATGGTAAGTCCTTTCCCCTCTGTACATCGGATGTTTTATAAGTAAGGCAAGAACATCGCTCTCTCTGGAGACTTTTGAACTATTTGCGAAAAGGTACCTTGAAAATATAAGGTGACAGCGTTAATAAGAGTAGAATGATGACAATACATAATGTAACGGATTACATTCTCTTTGGTGACGGTGGCTGGCTTGATAGACATGAGAGGATATGATGGCTTCAGGTCTTATTAAATATCGAGTAATATCTGTGGTGCACACCTACTTATAGAATAGTGAGAAGCCCGGGTGCCCCTGCATTCTCTCTTTGGGAGAAAGCATGAATCAGCACAGCAGCATCCGGAAATCTCTACGCTGCATAATCCAGCCAGCGGAGATGAACAGGAGGATGGTTGAGGTGTTCCTGCCAAGTCAATAGCAGGGTCAGTCTGGTGTTTATGGTCACCCTGACATCCCTCAGCTCAGCTGCGCTGCTGATCCCACTGGCTGTACAGGACTCAAAAACTAAAGGAATGCCCCTGAAAAGTGGGCAGTTTCATGGCATCACGGAGTGAATGAATTGTCTCTCGTCCAGGCATTTCTGCCCCTAAAGTGATCCTCAGGGGGACTTGCGGCCTGTCCAGCTCTCAGGTGTGGGGAAGTGACTTGCGGCTAGACTGAGGGTGACCTGCAGGCAGTGCACAGAGAGTGAGCTGACTGCCACGTTAGTAGCCCACTTTGAGTTCTGGGCTTTGCTGCTATTGTAGCTTCTGTAGGGTGGGAAGGAAAAAGACTTGATGATAAGAGTATTATTTGCTTGGTGAGTGATACATGTGTTTCGGTACACTCCCTGCGGGAGGTTTTAAAATGAAAAACAAAACAATATCCTCTTTAGAAATATGGAAGTAGAATGTCTAATGAAAATAACTGAGAAGTAATTTCAAATGATATTAATTAGAGTTTTCAGTTGATTCATTCACCTATTCAGCACATTCATACTGAGTGGTTATTAAAAAGCTAGGCACTGGGGTAATGCTGTGAATTAAGGTCCCTCTGTCACCTCCAGTCGGAGGGTGAAAGGCATTCAGGGGTCTCAGCACTTATGGGTGGGGTGACATGGGGCGTATAGAAGAACATATAGACATCACAGTTTTATCCTGCATGATGTAAATGTTTAATAATAAATATTTAAAAGAAACCAGAGATATAACTGAAAAATTAATTAGAGACTATAAAGGTACTGTTAGAACTTTGAGATGGAGGGTGCTGCATAATTCACACTAATGTTATTTTTAAAGAGGCTATATTCAGTCCGAGAGGATCTGCCTTCAAATCTCAGCCCTTCAGGGGACTGACTTTGTGACCTTGGGCAAGTCACACAGCTGCTCATTTCATTCAGTGCCCTCCCCTAGAAAGATGTACTGATGCGCCAGGAGGTGTCAGGCTGTGTGCTTGGCCCTAAGGATGCCAGTGTGTGTAGGAAGCCGAGTAGTGTTACATTGTGTATATGTACCACAGCGCTCTCACTCCAGGCTCTTCCACGGGAGCTCTTTCCTCAAACACCCCAGCCTCTGGCCCCAATACAACTGCAGCAGTCCTTGCACATTCAAGACCAACGGGGAAGAACAAGTGTTTTGCCCTGAATGTTCAAAACTATTTTACTGGCCTTGACTGGATCACCAGTCACTGTGACCCAGAGGGATGGGATCCAAGGACTGGCTGAGGCCTGGGTCCCAAGTAGTGCCCCACTGAACCACACTAAGTAGGAACAGGCAAGGGGTGGGTCCCCAAAAGAGCAGAAGTACAGTCAACGGGTGCTGGGCAGCCAAGAATCAACAAGACAGTGCTGTTCACTGCGGCCAGCTAGTCCTGTCTATCCCACTTCCTTGGGCTGTGCAGTTTAGGCTGCTGGCCTGCCACTGGCTTGGTTCAGGGCACGGTGAGGCCCTCCGCACCGCGACCAAACGTTCCTTCTACACGCAGATATCCCTCGGTCTCTCTCCTAGCTTGATCTCCTTCCGTGGTTCCCGTTGCCCACAGGCCAAACCCGGTTTTACCACCTGTGTTTATAAAACACTGTGGCTTTTTCATTCTTAAATGGTTGAGAAAAACAAAAGATAATATTTCATGACATGAAAATTACATGAAATTCAAATCCATACTCCTTTCTGTTTACACTGTAACCTGCATATGTTGCTTTCCTGGATCTTCTAAAAAAAATCTGTAACATTTGTATATTTGCAAAATGTCACAGTCTTTACTAAATACTAAGAGTACTCAAGTGACAATAGCTAGTTGTCTGCTTGCTTTAAGCGGTGTGCCAGGCATGGGACTAGATCTCCTGATAGGAACTTTCTTACCCCTAACCCCCAGCACCTGGGTGTCTGTTTCGAATACGGTGAGTGGACAATAAATGTTGTTGAACAAGTAAGTAGGAGAACAGGGTCTTGGAAGCCACTTAAAGAGCCATGAATAGCTTCAAGTCGGCACACAGTGAGCCATGCAGTGGGCTCTGAGACATCTCACAAGTCCCGTTGGCTTTGGTAGATCAAGGGGAGGGGCGGGGCTTGACTTCCTCTAGCCTTTGAGCACGTTGTCGCTGCTGCCCCCTCTCTGCTACAATAACAAATAAATGGAACAGATAACAAAAGCGAAAAGCCATTGTGGAGTACTCTGCAAATAGAAAGTGGCACAGAAAATATGAATAATGCTGTTCGTGCAATGAAATGTGTGGTGCAGACAATGCAGATATGATGCATTCAGCAAAATCCACAGGCTTGGGTCAGGGCCTTCAGCCTTGGGAACATTGGAGTTATGGATGGGCCTTGAAGCCTGTTTTTCTGCTTCATGGTTCCCCTAACTCTTCTCTGCCCTCTTGCCCTTCAGATGCTCAACCTGTTCGTGGCTGTCATCATGGACAACTTTGAATACCTGACTCGGGACTCATCCATCCTGGGGCCTCACCACTTGGACGAATTTGTCCGTGTCTGGGCAGAATATGACAGAGCTGCATGGTGAGTAGGCCACTCTGCCACTCCACTGGGGCCTGCATCAGGGGCCTCCAAGTTCTAAGGAAGAGGTTGGCATTAGAGCCACCCAAATGCTTGCCTGTTACAGAAGGAGAGGGGGTTCCTCCTGGCTGTGGCCCATTGAAGAGGCCAGGCCGTCAGCTTGGCTCTGGTATCAGAGACGTAGCTTTTTCTCTCTCCCTTTACCCGCTCTTTCCTTCTGTGACAGACTTTCCCTTTCTTTGCCAGTCTCATCACAATGTCCACACCTCAGAGTGTTTGGGTTCAACCCCCAGAGGAGCTTCCAATAATCTTTCTTCTTTTCCTGCCTAATGGTTGAATCATCAGGGGGGTTGACTAGGGTATTTCTGGGCCAATTGGACATCTGGTCACCATGGCCACTGACAGTAGTGTTTATGTCTCTCATCCCTCTCAAAAGCTACAGTTTGAGATAACTGAAATTATATAAAAAACCAAGCAAGTTGCCCTTCCAACTGATTGATCCCTTAAATGCTTGTGGTTTTATTGCACGAAACTGAGTTAAATGTCAGGAATTTGTGGCGATAACCCCCCGTTCTCTTCCACTGTTCAGTAGTTCTCCAGTGATGTCGTGCCCTCTGGACTTAGAGTGAGGTTGGCGATGCCAGCCCATGGGCTAAATGTGGCCCAATGTCTGTTTTCCAAAATAATGTCATATTAGAACACAGCCATGTTCACTCATCTGTGGGTTGTCCTAGCCTGCTGACACACTATGAGACAGGCTTGAGTAGTTATAACAGAGACGGAATGGCTTTCAAGTTCAAAACTATTTCCTGTTTGAGCCTTTAAAGAAAAGGTTTGCTGATCCCTGCTTTAGAGTTTAGAGGCAACATTGGGCCCTCGTGGTTGAAGACAGGTGAGAGTCCTATGAGTGCTCCCTCCCCAGGCTCTTTTCTGTCCCATGTAATCTTTGCTTTAGGGTCTTACCTCACCAATCTATCCATTTTGGGGCCCCTCTGAAAACACTACAAGAAATGCTACCCTTCACAGGAATGGGCCACGTTGCTTCCACCTGGAACCCCTTCATTATCTGAGACTTTTCCTCAAATCTGTCCTTCTATGAGGCTGTGGAATTTGGGTCACTTCTTTACAGGTTAGAACTGTGAATCAGAAGTCCCATTCCCTTCAGTCACTAGTAGTGACTTAGGGAGCAGAGTTCTCCAAGTCCATTCCTGTTATGATGGCTGAGCAATGCTTTTATCTTTGGGCTTTCTTCCTAGTAGATGGGCTGATTAGAAAGCACAGGACGGGGTATCAGAGGGGGATGCAGCCAGGCCTGCATCTTTCAGCAATGTGGCCTTGGACAAGGCACTTAACCACTCTGAGCTCCCTTGACTGTAAAATGGTGATAATGATACCAACCTTGAAGGCTGGTTGTGCAGATTGTATTATATCATGTGCGTAACTGTTATTATCATTCACAATAACCATATGGGAAAGTGACTGGGAAGTGTGGAAAATTGGTCTGTAAAGCATGGATGGTCATGGGATTGGGAGCCTGAGAGAGGAGACACCAGCTGCTAGCAAAGGAGTTCATTGCTCACCTAGCCTCACTCAGTTGTCCTTGGCTCTCAGAAATCCCAGCTTTCTGTGGTTTCACATTATCTTGGGACCCAAATGCCATGCACATTAAGCATGTCCCTCCCCACTCATTCCAGCTGCTGGGATGAAACAATTCCATGAGTAGTACTCATGAGATTTAGATGCATGAGCTGCGAGAGAGCAAAAAGAAAAAAAAGAGAACCTCTTCTCTGAAATTCATGGCGTTCACTTGTTCTAATTAGAGTTTCCTTGGCCTTGTCTATAAGATAGGGGCTGGGGGCACTGACAAAGATACAGTGAGCTGACGTCTTCAAAAAGAAGACTGATACAGGTACAAAGACCAGCGGCCTATAGACAGCAGTCCCAACCCATCCACGTCCCAATTACAGTAAGAAAAACAAATGGTTAAATTAACCTTCTCTTAAGAGTCGAGAGACTTGGAAGTACTGATGAGCTGCTATTAGGAAGAAGAGGAGGAATCAATACCAAAATCAAGAACAGGCTAGAAAGAGTGAGGCGAGGCTGGGGCTGAGGCCTGGTCTCCACATGGCTGCTGGCAAGGACTGGTGACCAGAGGCTGAGACCCTGGCTCACACCAGGATGTGTCCAGGTTCTTGGCTGTTGCTTTCTTGTAGTGGCCCCTACGGACCAGAAGCTTTAGCCACGGAAAATGAATCAATTGTTGATCCTGTGCTTTTTACAGAAAACCAGAGCTCTCCAGCTGGCTTGTGGGGAAAGGAGTTGGTAAGATAGGTCTCGTAGTTCCTGGAATTCTGACTGGATCAGACGGAGCTGCCTGTGAGCTGGGCAGTGGTGTGGAGCGGGGGAGAGGACTGCTGTCTAAACACAGATCCAGACAGATCTGCCACAAAGAGCAGCACAGCCCTTTGCAGCTTCCCTTGTGCCAACTATGCTCCTTGCTAATTAGTCTAATGGGAAATGTGTCTCTTGCAGTCTGCAGAAAGCACAGACTTCCTCTCTGCCCGACAACTGGGGCTGCGGAACTGTTAGCCGTGACTGAGAAACAATTCTGCAGTTGTCCACTTCACAGCAGCTGCTCTTGACAGTGGTCAGAGCAGCTGCAAACTGGCAGGCTGTGTTCTTTGAGGCCTAGCTCAAGCCAGGGTCCTTTTCCTGCATCTGGACAGGTGTGAGCCTGATACGTTTCTCAGGGTGCCCTTGGTCACGAGGCAGCCCCTTTGCACACTGGACAGGCCCAATTGCCTTGGGAAATTGGGAGCAGTGCAGGTCTCAAGCTGGTGCTTCCCTGGTGCTCACTGTGCTCAGTCTCTCCTGGCTCGGCTTCGCCCAGCCCCAGGAAGAAGCTGCCCTTCCTCTTCCGGCCATGCCCTCCTTGGCTAAGCTGTCATTTCTTTCCCGCCTTCTCTGAGTGTCCTATTAACCCACTTCTGCTTCCTTTTCAGTGGCAGGATCCCGTATAAGGATATGTACAAATTAGTGCGGGTCATCTCGCCGCCTTTGGGCCTGGGAGAGAACTGCCCCTACAGGGTGGCTTGCAAGGTTTGCCTCCCAGTCCCCAGCCGCGACTGGTGGTGGGGTGCCACCTGGAACCCCTCCTCTCTGTCCCGCTCCACCACCACCGCGCCACATGAGGGAACCTTCATGTTGCTTTCCTTGAGTTTAAAGAGGTCCCAACCCTCCCAGAACCAGCAGCTGTTACACGAGGGAGAAGGACACATTTGGGGGTGGGGGGTAGGTAGGAAAAAAAGCTAAGGGCTTAATAACAAAAGCCATTTCAACCTCACTTTCTTCATGTGCATGCACTCATTGGTGCGTGGACACACACTCTCACACTCTCTTCCCACACCCTGTAATCCGCACATTTAACCAGTGGGGCCTCTCCCTCCAAGAATGCAGAAATCTTTTTTAAAAGCAGAGTGTTCTGGTTTCCCCTCACTAGAGACAGACACGCCTCCTTTTAACAACATCGCCCCATATGTAAAGTCTCCAGGTGTGATTCTAGTCACCCCACCTCTGCCCACCCTCCACCGCCTGGACGATTTGGCCAGAAGCGATTATAGAAGCTATAGGAAGGAAAGGAGGTGAGAAACAATGAAGAATTAGGGCAAGAGGTGAGAATAGGTAAAAGAATCGCTTTGGGGGGCGTGTGGAAGAATCTAATAGCTCAGAGGGGCTGGGAAGGTCTCAGTAGAGGACTGAAGGCTCCTCAACACATTTCTTGCCTTAGGGTTCTGCCATATACTGTCGAGGGGGCTGAGGGGGCCTGTTGGTTTGTGAAACCAAGAACATACATGTCCGGGGCATCTAGGACCTCCCTCTCCAACGCTGCCAGACCCTGGGAACTCTAACACCCCAGTGCCTCTGCCCAGCTGCCATCCGAGGCCAAGCCTGCTAGATCAGAAAGCCTCTCGAGGTGCTACAGAGGGGAGCGCGGGCGCCCGGGGGTGTAGCACAGCCCTGCAGCTGGAAGAGGACTTAGGCCCAGGAAGGGGATGACCTGGGCAACGGGCAGGAGCTGGCTTGGGACGGTGACACAGTGATTCCCGAACTCGGGAGGCTGAACAGCTGCCTCTGCTGAGACTCTTTAAACTTGACCCTGGTGAAACCCGCAGCCGCATGAGGGGAGGCCGGGAGGGCAGCATGGCATGCAGGGCGCTCTTTCTCCTCCTGGCTTTGTCTCCTCTGTCCCCGGCACGCCAGCGCCCTGGGACATGCCGGGGAGTCCAGAGCGCTGCTCCTCGCAGAGCCAGGTGGAAGCAACGGGCGACCTGACAGCAGCCACAGGCCACCACGTCCACGTCGCCGCTCCTGCTGCGCACACGGCACAGAGGGGGATACCCGACGTCTCGTCTGTGGGTTCAGAGCGGGAGACAGGCCGGACTTCCCGGCCAGAGCCTGGAAGCCTGACCCACAGCCGGAGCGCCGTCTATCCGGTTTATACCGCTCGCTCACAGCCCCGGGAATGAAGCGAGCTTGTGTGGGATGGGGGACGATGGAGGGACAGGGAAGCGGGGATGCTAGCCCAGGAGGAGCGGACAGACGGGTCCCGCGACAGTGCGCACGAGTCAGAGGGACCACAGGTCGCCGCCAGCGTTCCCGGGGCCGTGCGGGGCTGATATAAACCCTCACCAGGATGGAGTCACCCGTATGATTTGCCTTGATTAACAGGTTTCCTATTCTTTTCCCGTTTGTCCATGTTGTTCTGTTCTCCTCTCCTGTTCTCCGTATGACTGTCCGTCTGTCTGGTTTTGGCTCTCCTGGGAATGCCTGTTCTCCCCACCTGTCTGCATTCTCCCCACTCCCTCCTGCCACCTGCCCTCCCACCCCACCCGCCGCCCCTTCATGAGCAGTGGCCGCATCCATTACACTGAGATGTATGAAATGCTGACTCTCATGTCACCACCGCTAGGCCTCGGCAAGAGATGTCCCTCCAAAGTGGCATATAAGGTAGACCACCCCTTCCTTTGTTCTGGGCTAGAGACCAACAGAAAATGGGATCCAGCTGTGGGGAGGCCAGACTGGGGGGGAGGAAGCCGGGCTCGGGAGGTGGAGGAGGGAACCAAGGTGAAAAGAAATGATGAGACCAAAGGGTCAGGAAGGTTCACGGAAGGATGCCGCCCCGAAATGACACATTGGATGGTTTGCAATACTGTTCACCGTGGGCTGTGTTACATGTTATCTGTGTTTAATGACAAGTGCGTGGCTTCTTGTGAGTGGGTTCCTAGAGGGAAGTGTTAAGTGGCGTGTTTGCTTTTAGAGGAGGCAGAGTGGTGGCCTGCAGGGAACCTACAGCACACCGGCTCTCCCAGCAGATAAAAACGGGAGCCCCTTCAATCAGATAAGCCAAGGAACTAATGCGGAAATCCCTCTTAATGTGGTTCAAGGAGAAATTTTTTATGAGAGGAAAACTTAACGAATTTCTTCCTCCATGACACAGAAAGGAAGTGAGGCCTGATTCCTTCTAGGCAGCAGAAAAAAAGAGGAGCCTGACTTCTACCCATGATGTGTGATACAGGATGCAGCTCCCTTTCCCCACCAGCCCAGCCGCCAGCTTCTCTGGGCAACACAAGGGGAAGGGTGACGCTGGGCCATGTCGCATTCAGGATTAGATTTCCCTTCTTGGCATGACTGAGTTATAGGGCCTGGCCCTGCAGTTATGGGTGGAGTCCCCCTGGTTTGCATAGAGCAGCATTGTCCAGTGGGAGTCACCTGCCATTCAGGGGCTCATAGCTTTGAGGCCGGAGTTTTTTTCCTCCACAACTAGTAATAGTTACTATTCATTCCTCTTTGGTGTTGGGACTGACCCAGAACACTGGAGCTCTTTCATCCGCCTAGGACTGCTCCACAGCACTGCTGCTACTACTATAGAAGCTCAAGGACATGGGAGGGAGATGGAGCTCGGCTAGAAACAAGAAACTGCCTTGACTCTTTAAGGCACCATGTCTGTGGGATCACCTTAGGCGACATGTTCCAATGGGGTCTTAGAGACCCTGCCTGGGGAAGACATACATCCCTCCCTGCTAGGCTGGCAGTTCTAGGGGACCTTCTCCTGCTGCTCCAAGGTGTATAGGTCCAGAGAACATCTCATTGGGACAGGGCCCATTAGGGACCCTCATCCACATGGCTCCTCACACACAGCTTAGGGGCTGACATCCTTTCAGCTCATGATGGCCACATCCAAAAGTACCAAATGGTAGAATGTGGCCCTGAGTTCTTTGAATTTCTGGGATGAAGCTTAGTAAGAGGAGTGTTGGGATTGGAGGAAACGTTGAAAGAATTCCAAAAGCAAGATACTCTCTGGAAAGTGGATTTGGCCATTTCAGTTTGATCCCTTCCTTTGGGCGAGGGGACACGGCCTGCCCACTCTGCTCCTGCCTTGTTCACCCGTCTCTCATGCTCTCTCCGCTGCTCCCCCCCTCACCCGCCCTGTTTGCTCTCTGCCCTTTCCCATCCCGCTCCACCTCATCCATTGGATAAGCTGGACTTCTGCATGTTCAGTCCTGTGCTGGCAAGTTCCATCTTTGGAAGACTCAAAAAGGGGGCATCAGGATGTGTCTTCAAGTCAGAGAAGCAAAGCAAAATCTCCCCCTTCACTGTCTTTCCGTCTGAGCTTTGGGGGTGTTCACGGGAGCAGGCCTTGAAACAGGGAATGGAGCCACCTCCCAGAGCTGACTCCGTTCCCTGAGCCCCTTCTAGAAATCACTTCTGGTCCCTATGGAAGACATTCTTAGGACCATGGAGGAGTCCTGCGGAATGATTAGTGCCCCCGGCCCTGGAATTTGGCATCACTCCCCAGGGACCAAACCAAACCCCAAACCANGGAAGACATTCTTAGGACCATGGAGGAGTCCTGCGGAATGATTAGTGCCCGCAGCCCTGGAATTTGGCATCACTCCTCAGGGAGAAACCAAACCAAACCCCAAACCGCAGCAAATGCACCTCCGGGGAGAAGTAGGGAGAGTAGGGCTGGGAGAGGGTGGGGATCCTTGCCCTTCTTTTTCGTCTCTGCATTTAACCTCTGCACTTGTCCTCCCTTCTCACCAAGGTTTCTTTTGATATGCTTCCCCCCTGCTGTTTCTTTTCTCTCACACACAGAGGTTGGTCCTGATGAATATGCCCGTGGCCGAGGACATGACTGTCCACTTCACCTCCACCCTGATGGCTCTGATCCGGACAGCTCTGGACATCAAGATCGCCAAAGGTGAGCTCAGGAAGGAAAAAGCAGCTCTGGAGGGGCCCATGCAGGGCGGTACAGGACAGAGATTTTTGAACTGTCACCCTCCCACAACGCAGGGACCTGGAAATCAACTACTAGGGTCTTAGTTTCAGCTCTGAGACTCAGTAACTACAACATTGCTCACTTCCTCCTGGTGAAAGGAGTGGTTCGCTCATCACTAAGGCTCCTTTCATCTTTCAGTATGTGATCCTCAGTGTCTGGCACATAATAGGCATTTTAGACATACGTGTTGATGCAACAAATGAGTTCTAATTTTGTCTTTTTTTTCTTATGTGGCACCTTTAATGCCTTGGAAGGATTCCGTGGCTGGTGCTATCATGGTGGTACTTGGTTCCTTTGATGATTTTTAACTCAGTGATTTAGAGAAAAGGCTTTCTGCTTCCCAATGGACCTCCTGTTCATGCCTGATCCAAATCCTGTTTAAAATCAGGTCACTCCTACCACAGAGTTGTGGAAAGAATTGATGTCCATTTAATGCAGGGGAGACTCCTGTGTGGCTCTTTTCATTTCCCCCGATATACTGAGCAACTGGGAGGCTTCTCCAATGAATGAGGAAGCTGATCTTGGTCTCAGACCCGTGGCAGGATATCCCCAAGTTACTGAAAATGGGAGTCAGATTGTGTTCTGCTGCTTCAGCAGAAAGACCCAGCATTGCAAGATCCACTGTCACTAAGAGCCAGGATGTCCCCTGAGAATCCAAGGTGCCATGCTGGTTCAGCTCCTGCTCCCTCCGCCCTTGTTATTTCTGTGTCTGTGCTGTTTATTAATAATTTATCTTATTCTCTCTAGGTGGTGCTGACAGGCAGCAGCTAGACTCGGAGCTACAGAAAGAGACCCTGGCCATCTGGCCTCACCTTTCCCAGAAGATGCTAGACCTGCTTGTGCCCATGCCCAAAGGTACGGCATCTCCTCCTGGATGTCCTTGTCACAGTAGGCCCAGCATGCTAAAACCACATCTTTTGCGGAGGGACACAGAGTGATTGAGGAGATAAGGGAAACTTGTTATCTCCTTAACAAATACAAATCCCTCACTTCTTAAGTCCTTTTTGTCATTATTAATTGGGTCACTGTGGTTTTAGCTGAAAGTGTTTGGGTGTGTAGCCCTCTCCTTCCCACAATACTGTGCAACCAACCCTCATGGGTGTCATCATGAGAGATGGAAATCTAGATCAGCAGAGGTGATGGTTACTAACGTCATCCCCCTCCTTGGGCTGTGACAGCTCCCTGAAGAGACCTGTGGGGACCTGTCCACTTTGTATGCTCAGCGCCTAGCACACACCTGCTTTAGAGGTGCCCTCCCTCCC